ATTCACATCTGTTTCACTCCCTCCCGTCTCAGGAGCGTGCATGCAAAACTCATCATTTCTTCAATGTACAATTTAATTTCTTAAAAGGCTTTTTTTACTTTTCAATATAAGAAATGTTTGCATAGAAACAAACAAATATATATATGAAACAAAATAGCATTTTTGCATTTACAATTGCTTTAATCCATGAGAAAAATCTTTTAACATCCCAAATGTATTCTTTAAATTAAACAATCAGTGGAGTTTGCCACTCTTAGAGCATAAATATCGGTGTCCAAAATACTTGTTAGAGTTTAATAGATAATTTACCTGTGTGTTTCATTCCTAAATTTGAAAATATTCCTATGCAAAGAAACGTTTTTTTTGGGTTAAATTGGATTAAAAATATATGTATAATTAAATTTAGAATATATTGTAATGTTTAGTAGAATCTATTTAAAAAATCAATGAGTGTTTTTTGAACGTGGGTGCTCTTAAAAACCGTCACTTCTCTGTAAAACACTGCACTGTTCATTTACCAAATAATATATTAACTATTTTTTTAAATAATTCACTTGCCAAATAAATTAGTAGTTATTATTACTCAATTTTAATAACTTCATATTAACTTTAGTTATTATTATAAAAATTTAAGTTTAGTTTTCTGTTTCAAGCCAACCATATAAATATTCGGCTGATCATTCTAAAGAACAGTCATTTAAGAACCTTCACATCACTAGAAGTTTTTTTTATGGATAAACATAAAGGATCATAACTTTAAATACATTCAACAGTTTTTTTTTTTTTAATTTATGTTTGACAAATAGTAAGTAGTTATTTCTTCTTTATTATATATAGGAAGGGCGTTAGTTTAGGTATTAAATTTTAAATGCAATTTTAGTTTATTCTTCTTCTTCTTCCTCACATATGGATTTAATCGTTAAAGTGTTAATCTTGTAGATTATCTCCCTCTCCATTGCATCGAAATTTAAAATTTGTTATTATCATTGATCCTCATTTTCCACGATCTCACATTCGCTCTCCGATTGGTTAGTTCGAAACTTTTCCAGGTCATCGGATTAAGAACTCTCAAAATCAAACACAAAGATTCGTCGCGTTCAATCCAATAAAGTAGCATATCAACTTTGATTCCTTGAATTTCCAGATCTCTGATTTCCATATTTCTCGATAGTGACTGGATCCAAAGCTACTCGTTCCACCGCAATACGAGAAGTCGTTACCGCTGCTGCAACTTAAATAGTGATCAATCAACCACATCCACGTCTTCCACAAGGTGTTGTGAGACCAATAGCAAAGGTTTCACTACATCTAGATCTGATCCAGACTCCTTAGATAGCTAGATCTGTTCAAATGCCTCCGCCTAGACCTTCGTTTATGCTGCTAGTTTCACAATCTGAAGTCTTACCTAAATTCCAACTATTGCGAGCTAACCTTAAATTGCAAGGCTCCAATGAATTTCTGAACATCATCTACAATATTGTTTAGCCGCAAAATTCGCATGCAATAAATGAAAGGTTTCTCTTTCTCGAAGAAAGCTTGAGCAATGCACCTCTACGAGGGAACAACGTTCAAGAGGCTATGTCAAGGAAAACTCAAACTGTCATCCCTGAGGCGAGCGTAACAAGGAAAAATAAAGATCTGAATTCGAAGAATTAGTAGAGGAGCAAAAAGCACCAGAGTCCTCCCCAAAGCCCTAAGGGAGATCGAGGCAGCCTCACTCCTCTTAAGACAAAGTAGAGAAAAAACTGCCTAAGAATCCACATAAGCATCCTCTATGCACTCGTATTTTGGATAGAAAAATACCTAAGTTGATGGAGAAACCTCATAATCTAAATGAGTACAACAAAAAGGGAGATCCAGACGAGCACGCACAGCTCGTCAATGATTAACTGATTACTTGAATGATGACAAAGCCTCCCAGTGTATTGAATCCTTGGGCCGACTATATGTAGTTCAACAGTCTTCTAGATAAGAGTATTGAATCCTAGGAGGATTTCTGCAAAAAATTCACTACTCACTTTACTGCCCAAAAAAGGAAGCCTATGATTGTAGCTATTTTGAGAGGGATCATTCAAAGGAGGAATGAGAACATGTAGTCTTACATCGACCAACTTACATAGGTAGCCATGGAAGTAGAGGGAGTCGAAGAAGGCCTTAAGTGCTAGATATTCGAGAACAAACTTCTATGGGAAATGTTAAGCATATCTCAATTTTACATATTCTTGGAAGAAAAAATGAATACTCAGTTTGAAAATCCCACTTCTGCCAACCCCAATTCTATCCACCCAGTCAGTAGGAAAGAAGTACCATTAGCAGAAAGATGAGTCTAAGCAACGAATGCAAGACTGGTACGACAATACATATCACTGAATGCATCACGGGAAATGATTTACCAAGATTGTGCTAACACATAATTCTAGAAGGCAGGAATCAGAGCTCTTTTCCCATATGAGAGTCGTCCATAATAGACAAGACCAAGTATTTTCACTTCCATAAGGGACATGGTCATAACACCAACAAATGTGTCCAGCTGAAGGATGTTATTAAGGGATTGGTCAAGAGAGGTTGATTGTATGACTATGTGTAGAGTGGAAAAAAGAGAAGAGAATCTATCGATCACTCCAGTGAGACCAAGGAGAAGGAAAGACAATGGAAATCAATGTCGCTTCCCTACCCAGTCAGCTCAAAAGCATGAACATATCCCCTAAAAAGTGGTTGAGGAAACTAAAAGCAAACAGGGAAAATAAGTGGCGGCGAGTCCGCCTAGTATTTTTTCCATATTAATTTTCATTATACAATATGTATGCTTAATCATCTTCCTAGAATGCCGAATTATTTCTCAAATATGAATGAAATATTAAAAAATTTGAAATATTCATTTCTTTGTGTTTGTGTAAGGTAACAGTGAGTCCGGGGTACAATCAAAGGTATCAAAGCACCAACACAACGACTCAAGGGTGTTGGTGCAAATGCCTTGTGCGTGTAACCACATCAATCAATTTCCCACAATGAAAAACACACATAAAGAAAATCAGAGGCGTTGTCATAAATACCTCGCGTGTGCGATTATAGCAATCAATTCCATACAACGTCAAGTGCACACATAAAAAATTAAGGTGTTATCGCAAACATCATGTGCGTGAAACTTCAACAATCAATTCTCCACAATGTAAAGAAATGAAAATAACGATCTAACCCTTTGGCAGATAACCACTCTAGAGGCCGCGGTGGATTAGCTACACATCGATCTTGGACTGGGATTTCACATGGGCAGGGAAAGGAGAACTGACCTTTGGCCGATAATTGTTCCAGAAAAGTCCAATAAACTTCGAGGAAATACCTCATAAGTTTGCACGGAGTCCGGGGCTCTGCACTCAGGATCACATTAAATATATTTCAAACAGGCAAAAGAATACTTCACTACAAATTTACACACATCTATTTCACCATTGCAAATATACATTACACACAGTATGTGACTAAAAAAAAAGCAAGGTTATCCTAGAAGGGGACTGATCTTCCCGTCTTTGAGCATGTGATTTGGCCAAACTTTCTCCCTTAAAACACGCAAAGGACGGTGAAAATGCTCAACTTGCTGCAGGACGTTTTCTAAATACTGTCAAACTGCCCCAATGGTGGCGGTCGTACAGTCGGGAAAATATTGAGTCCAAGAAGTATTCTCAAGGCGCAGAGACTCTAACTCTCATTTGAGTTGTTGAAAGAGATGCCTAAGTAGATGACAAACTGTCTTAAATAAAAGTTAAAGACTTATCTTTCCTCGCTATACCCGTCACCAGAAGAGTCACATTGTTGGCAAGAGAATCAGGTGTTAAGGGGTGTAAAATGTCTTTTATCCCAATGAGAGAGGTGTAAGTTGTATGTATTTCTTGCAGGTATTTCGTTGAAGCATCATATTGCGAACATTTTCTTCTAGTCGATACTTCTTCTTACGTTGTTGGTCAGACTAAAAAGCATCCATCGATTGGTTTTACTTAGGGCCAAAGCAACAAAGGCGTGTTAAATATATCTCGCCAAAATTCTCAATTCTTCCTCCAAGGCACGCTCGAACAAATTGGCTAAGTATGAACAGTCTTCCTCTGAAAGAGGAATCCAACATTCCTTGGAAGAGTCGGGGTCCTGTCCCATTAATGGCGTAAAGGTCGGAGGATTCGAAGCACACAACGACCTCTTAATGGCATTCGAAATGGCAATATCCCTAGAGAACTCCGAAATAGCGCAAGGGTCTACTGACCATCCATTTTGAATTGAACATCCATTTTGAAAAGGTAAGTGTGGCCTCTAAAAGACTAAGTATTCAACATGTTCTAAATGTATACTTTTTAAATTGTTGATGCACTTCCTAAACCACTTCTACAACTTTCAATGATTTAAATGTCAAATTTAAGATTTGTCTTCCACCACTCTAAGTTTGATGGGACTAGTACAAATATTAATTTAAAAATTTTATTAGACTTAAACTCTATTTTTTAAAAAAAAGTTTGTTAGGATGAGTTATAATTGGTTGAGTCAATTAGAATTTATTATAGTTCTTTCATTATTGTGTCACAAACTAAACTTTGAAGGAATGGAAAATGAGAATGAATCATAGATTCAATTCATCAAAACTATTTAACACTTCTAACCAAAATGATACTATTACTATATGTATATCAAAGAAGCTACCTAGATTTGTTGCGTGCATTTAAGAGTCATGATTATAAAGGCACGGAGAGTAGATGTGGAACACGAATGCGCGTGAAGTAGGAGTAAAGAAGGAATGAGTGGGAACTTTGTCTGTAAAAAGGTTAGCATTGACACCGACATCTTAAACTCAATTCCCAACATCTTGTCTCTTTCCCGCAAGTCTCTCCTTCACTCTGTATATCTAACACTATCCCATTCTCCCTTCTTCTCTAATCTTCCAATTTGCATTGCAATCAACCTGCAACATCCCCAGTTCTTATTCTTTCTCACCACTCACATGCACCCTTCAAATCACCATGGAACTTCATTTGAGTCTAGCTCTCTCAAATTCTCATGCTCACAACGTTGCTAGCAAGACTCACTTCCCTAATAACAAACCTAGTTTTCCTCAACTCTTGGAACATGCAGAAGAAACGTCTAGTAACACCAACGGATCAGATGTTATGTTTCCCACTCTTTCTCTCCTCCCGTTAACTCCTGGCCACTCAGATCATCATGATCATGAACTCTCCTGTCAGAGTTCAACTTCCACCATCACCAAGTAATATTACTAATTCATTATTACCATTCTTCAATACATATTTCAACCCTAGTACGTTCATTGGTTAACAATACGATATATGACTGACTTATAGGAGAGGTGAGGATGATGAAGAAGCTCACGTGGGTTGGCCTCCGGTTTATCATAGAAGGAAGAAACTTCGTTATAACGAGGATCACATGATGTCAAGAAATTACGTGAAAGTGAAGATGGAGGGTGTAGGAATAGCTCGAAAAGTTAATCTTAGCACGCACCATTCATTTCACACTCTCAACCAAACATTGTTGGACATGTTTGGAAAAAGTACGTATATCTATATATTGTTTATTCAAATACCTAACTATATTTCCAAGCTCATTAGTTAAGATACCTATGGTTTTATTTATATCAGGTGATAATGATCAACAGTATGAACTGGTTTATCAAGACAAAGAAGGTGACTGGCTTCTTGCTCAAGATGTTTCATGGAGGTAAAAATTCAGAGTGATTTAACTAAATTATAACACTCATTTGTTGAACTATTCTACCCACCTAATTTAAGATAAATGTTAGTTTGAAGATATTATTATTTATTTATTTATATTTTAAAATTAATAGGTATGAAACACAAAAATATGTGACAATAATTATGTAAGAATGGAGTAATTAACACACAAGCACATGTATCTTGTAGTTTTTGATTGAAAGGACTTGCAGTAATTTCTAACTATAAAAACTTGTTTGTTTGGTTGCAGAAGTTTCATTGATTGTGCCCAACGCCTCAAATTGCTCAAGAGCAGAGGATAACTCAACTCAAACCTTAGTTCATATTTTAACAACCCAAATATTAATTAATGGGTATTTTTTTGTGTTAACTGTGTCTATTTAAAGTAGTTTGACTTTGAAATAGACTTTCAATTTAAAGGTAATATATTGTGTCAAAAATTTTAAAAGTAATGAAGTCACTTTAAATTTAATCAGATTTTTAATAAATGTCACTACGTTAAAAATGAATTTTGCAAGCGCGGCAAAGATAGCGTTTTATTTAAAAGCGCTGTTAAAAGATTTATAAAAAGAAAAGAAAAAAAGCACAGGCTTTAGAAAGCGCGGTTAAAGATTGTTATTTTGTAATACAATAAAAAGCGCTTTTATGAAAGCGCTGCTATAGGGAGGATACAAAAACGCTTTTAAAAAGCGCTGCTATAGAGGGATACGAAAGCGCTTTCTAAAAGCGCTATTATAGGGAGGATACGAAAGCGTTTTCTAAAAGCGCTGCTATATACGAAAGCGCTGCTAAAGGTCCTGGCCTAGGCAGACTTTAGAAAGCGCTTTCTAAAAGCGCTGCTAAAGGTGGGGTTTACGAAATCGCTTTTAAAGAGAAAGCGTTGCTATAGGGGGGTTACAAAAGCGCTTTAGAAATCGCTGCTATAGGTCTTTAGTTTTTTAAAAATAAAACAAACTTTTCATTTCATTTCACACTTCAGTACTTCTTTCTCTTTCTCTCTCTCTCTCTCTCTCTCTCTCTCTCTCTCTCTCTCTCTCTCGTGCATGCGTACATTTTCTCTCAATCTCTCACCACTGAACCCTACTCCCTCCGTTGTGCTCCCTCCGTCTAACGTCGTATCTTCGTCTCTCCAATGTCGTGCTCCCTCTGTACGTTTTCTCTCAATCTCTCACCACTGAACCCTACTCCCTTCGTCATACTCCCTCCGTCTAACGCCGTCTCTCTGACGCCGTGCTCCTTCCGTCTTGGTCGTCGTATCTCCGTCTCTCCGTCAGCAAAGTAAATATTTCGACCGTTGTTCTTATGTTGTTGCTGGTTATGTTGTTGCTGGTTCTGAAATTGCAAAACAATGTAGGATTGTGGTGGATAATCTTAGTGCTAATAATTATATTAGAATTAGAAGTAGTAGTTGTAAGTTTAGGTTTAAGTTTTGAATTTTTTACTGCATATATAAATATACTATATAGTAATCTTTTGCTACTTAATGTAATAAAAAGTTATATTTTAAATTTATTAAAAAATTAATGTATCTGAATTATATTATATGTAATTCAGATATATTGATTATTTAGTAAATCTAGAAGTTCTATTTTTCCGGTTACGTGAAAGGAAATATTTTATGTTGTTGCTGGTTATTTTTTAAAAGAAATAGAATATCATGGTAGTAATAACACATAGCTGAATACAATTGATTTTGGTGGTGAGTTTGAATGCTGCTGCATTTCTTTATTCATTTTCTTCTTCTATTTCAACCATTGATAACTATACTTGTAATGAACATTGATTTCTCTTTTTCTAACCATGTATATTATATTTTGAAAAATACTATCATAAGCTCTCTCTTTGATATAGTAGAGGTTCAAAAATATGGTCTATTGTGTATGGAAAATTTATAGTTTGACTTTGAGTGATATTATTAGAACTCACTTTGTCTTCTAAAATTACTTAATAAACAATATTAGATATTTCGTACCTATAATAAGATTTTAAAATTTTACAATTGAGAATAGTTTGTTAAGAAATGCAGCTGAGTCTAATTCAATTTTACAAAATCGGTTTGTAAAGTAAGGATTGTATCCACTTATGAAGACATGAATTAATAGTTTTAGCTTTAACATTTTGGACTCTGTTATATGATTTTTGAAAAGTGTTCTTATTATTTTAATAGTTACATGAGAATTAGACAAATTTTGATTAGTTGCTTCATACCAAATGTATCATTTTCTGATGTTGTTAAATGTGATTCCAAATGTTGTTGTTGATGTTGTTAATGTTGATGTTGTTGATGAAAACATGAATTAATTTTGTATGTTAATTTGTTATAGGGGTTACTTGTGAAGATTGTGATCGTTTCTAAGAATCTTACTGTGTATTCTAGAAGTTGTTGACTTCTTACAGTTGCTACAGGTAATCAATGTTGTTGTTTAACTTACTTAGTTTAGTTTAGCCTACTTAATTAGTATGGATAAAAATGGATGTCTTCCAATCGATTATCAAAAGAGTACGAGAATGGGGTATCAAAATTCGTTAAGCTTGCTGTTGAACATGCCAAAGACCCTAATAGGATCACATGTCCTTGCTTAGGTTGTTGTTATGGGCGTCGAATTGACGCAGTTCAGTTGGAATCGTATTTAAAGAGGCATGGAATTGATCGAAGTTATACATGTTGGACATTACATGGTGAGATAAGTAACGATAATGTTGAACCAAAGGATAATACGACCTATACTTCAAACGACAATGACACAGATACATACGACTATGATCGAGTCGAAGAGATTGTAGAAGCACTTGAAGAAGATCTTCAGGATTGTTCTAAAATGTTTGAGAGGTTGGTAAGCGATGCAGAGAAACCGTTGTATAAAGGTTGCACTACTTTCACAAGATTGTTTGCGGTATTAAAGTTGTACAACTTAAAGGCAGGCAACGGATGGTCGGATAAAAGTTTCACAGAGTTATTAGCCCTCATGAAAGAGATGCTTCCGGAGGATAATGTTCTTCCGAATCGAACCTATGAAGCCAAAAAATGTTGTGCTATATTAGCATGAGTTATGATAAGATACATGCTTGTCTAAATGATTGCATTTTGTTTTGAAATGAATATGCTTCATTAAACGAGTGTCTTAAATGCGGTGTATCTCGATATAAGAAAAAGTTGTCCCCAGCAAAAGTGTTATGGTATTTTCCTATAATTCCGAGATTTAGATGCATGTTTCATAGTGAAATAGATGCAAAACACTTGACTTGGCATGCAGATGATAGAATTATAGATGGAAAGTATCGACATCTGGCAGATTCACCACAGTGGATGAAAATTGATAATGAGTATCCTAATTTTGGAGAAGAAGCGAGAAACCTTCGCTTGGCATTATCTATTGATGGAATGAACCCGCATGGTCTGCAAAGTATCTCACATTCCACATGGCCTGTGATTATTATGATTTATAACCTACCTCCATGGCTATGTATGAAGCGTAAGTACATGATGTTATCTATGTTAATTTCTGGTCCTAAACAACCAGGAAATGACATAGACATATACTTGACACCTTTAATCGAAGACTTAAAGAGTTTGTGGGAGAACGGTGTGGAGGTTTATGATGGATATAAGAAAGAAAGTTTCAATTCGAGGGCGATGTTATTTGGCACAACTAATGATTTTCCAGCATACGGAAATCTATCGGCGTATAGCATTAAAGGTCAATGTGTGTGTCCTATCTGTGAAGAAAACACATATTGGACACAATTGGAATTTGGTCAGAAGAATGTCTTTCTTGATCATCGTATATTCTTAAATTCTAATCATCACTACCGTGGATGGAGAAAAACATTCAATGGAAATTCAGAACAAGGTAGAGCTCCACCTACATTGACAGGTGAACAAATTTTTGAAAAGTTGAAAGATGTGAGTACTAATTTTGGCAAGCCTTTTGCTCATACACTTGTCACGCGTGGGTGGAAGAAGAGGTCAATTTTTTTTTTGAATTGTCGTATTGGAAGTCGTTGTATGTAAGACATTTTCTTGATGTTATGCATATTGAAAAAAAATGTATTTGAAAGTGTTATTGGTACGTTACTCAATATACAAGAAAAGTCTAAGGATGACCTTAAAGCAAGAAAGGACTTGGTAGCGATGGGAATAAGAAATGAATTAGGACCCTTGAAGAAAGGAAATCAAACATATCTACCACTTGCTGCTTATACTTTATCTAGAAAGGAGAAAAAGATATTGTGTAAGTTTCTAAGTGAAGTTAAAGTTCCAGAAGGATACTCTTCAGATATTAAAAGACTTGTGCCTATGAAAGACCTCAAGTATTGCCATGTTATAATGGAACACTTTCTACCAATAGGTATACGTTATATTTTTCCAGAAAAAGTAAGAAGTGCAATAACTAAATTGTGTTTTTTCTTCAGGTCAATTTGTAGTAAGGTGATCGATCCTACGATCTTACCAACATTGCAAAAAGAAATAGTTATTGCTTTGTGTGAGCTTGAAATGTATTTTCCTTCATCATTTTTTGACATAATGGTACATGTAGTTGTTCATCTTATGAAAAAGACACAATTGTGTGGACCAGCTTATATGAGATGTATGTACCCTGTTAAACATTATATGAAAATATTGAAAGGGTATGTGAAAAACCGAAGTTGACTAGAGGGATGTATTGTTGAACGATACATTGTTGAAGAAGCGATTGAGTTTTGTACTGAATATTTGTCCAATGTTCAATCCATTGGCCTCCCAAAATCTCATGTTGTTGAAAAAATAGTAGGAAAACAGTTAATTGGAAATAAAGTTGTGACAATTTCAAGGGCTGAACGAGAGTAAGTGCATTTGTATGTTCTGCACAATGACATTGAGGTTGAGTCGTATGTTGAAATGCACAAGGACGTTCTCCGAGGTTTAAATCTGAATAGAAATGAAAATTGAATAGTGCGAGAGCACAATCGAAGTTTTATAACATGGTTCAAGGATCATATATTTTTAAAGTTTTATTCTGATCCCGCTTCAATAACAGAAAGGTTGAGATTTTTAGCATATGGTCCAAGTTTGCATGTGTTCTCTTATAGCGCATATGCAATTAATGGATACACATTTTATACCAAAGAACAAGATGATAAAAGTACAATGCAAAATAGTGGTGTCACCGTGCTTGCTGAAGCAATACACATTTCAAGTGTGAAGGACTTAAACCCCAAATATGAAAATTTGTCATATTTTGGGGTTATCGAGCGTATTCGGGTGTTTGATTATGAGAAGTTTCAGATTCCTATCTTTTGATGCAAGTGGGTTGAAAATAAT